TATAGTCCTTGGTGAGGGTACGCTCTGAGATGGTTTCTGGGTGACTGAGTATGTGGTTGGCGTGGGACAGCCCCACACAGTGAGAAGCATGGCGGGGAGGATGCTGCCTGCCCAGGGGTAGCCGCTGATGGAACATCATCTCCCCAACGTGGATCACAGGCAGAACATAAAACAGCTTGTCAACAAGATAGCAGTGACTGGTGGGAGCTGGCTTCCCTTGTAAGGGATTGGTCTGCACATCCTGCCTTCTATAAACTTTTCTAAGTATTTAATATGTTTAATGTATATTTAACCTATACCAGGCTGGATAAATCTTACTTGTCTTGCACACTTTTGTGTGTGTTGGGAAGAGGCTTTCAACTGGGAAGATTTTAGTCCTTGTGTTTTCTAGCCCTTGTGGGACAACCTGACTGCCTTTTCTTGCCTTCCCAAAAAACATGTCTTTGGGAAAACCTATTAAATTTAAACCAAGGGTCTCAAAATATTCATAAGAGCAGCTGGGACATGAATGAAGCTAGTTAAACACCACAGCTGTGCCGGCATTGCTGCTGCACCCACGTGCTGTCACAGGCCTGGAATTGGCAAATACACGGACGTCGGGTTTGCTTCACCTGCATTTACTGTTGTGCCTTGGACTCCAGGCAGGGAAGAAGATGTAAAAATATTTCTTAATCCTGGATAAGGAGACATAATAATTTTTCTAACAGTCTTCGTTCATCTATTTCTTGTTCTGATTATCTACTTCATCTTAAAGAGAAACTGTAAAGATGGTCTCTTTGCTAATGAGAGGGGGGACAGACACAAAGTACCTGTGCTACCTGCTGTGGGTAAATAGGTCCCTGGCAGAACAGAGAGGTAGCTGCCCTGCTGAAAGGAGCTGGCTTTGCACAGTTTGTTTATTTTACCTTGACCCTATCATCCTCCACACTCACATCAGTGTCAAACTTACAAACATAACTTTGAATCCAGATCTTTGCTGCCTTCTTGGTGTTATCTCTCTATGTCAATGTGGACTGAGATTTCAGAGGGTAATAACACACAGCCTACAAAGGAGAGATGTTGAACTTTGAAGCTCTATTCACATAAAAATACTCTTGGAAAATGAGAAGCCACTTACCCCATGAACTATTAACAGAACTACTGGATGATCCCTGGGATGACTTTGGTCAGCAGATGGGCCTGACTGGGAAAATGGCTGCAGAAGCAAGAGGCATCTCCTCGGGAAGTGTATGAGCAGGAACTGGGTGTCCACAAAAGACCGTCTGAGGGGTGGAAATAGCTGTAAATTACTTTATTTTGTCTAAGATTTTAGATTGCTTGAATTACCTAAAGTAATGGTTTATTGGATTTGTTTGTGCTGCGTGTTGCAGTATTGACAGCCCAAAAGTCAAAGAAACAGTTGGTGTTGATGTCAGATTCTCCTCCTGCACCGAAATAAGACTCATGTGAGCTATAAATGGAAGCAGTGATAACCTCTGAGGAGGTGTAAGACCTTCATCCTCATCAGCTGCTGTCTTCTTAAAGAAGAAAGTGTGTTTAGTAGTGCCCAAGTTAGGGAAGAGAGGATATGGGTAAATACCCTGTGAAAACTGTGGTGTCTTCTGGAAAGAGTTGATATCACAGCATTGATGCACTGGAAGGATTTTAAGGCGAAAGCTTTCAGAGGTGAGACTTAACATGGAAGTTGAAGTACTGATGAAGAGAAATGTGAAGGCACAGAGAGGGGAAGGACATGTCGCTGACAGGTTTGGGAAAAGGTAAGTGACAGGAAGGTGCGCTCCATAATTTGGAAGTAAAGCTTGAACTGGAAAAATTGTACTTGGAAGGACAGTTAGGAAACTGAAGATGCTTTCATCATCCTCTGCAGGGCTTCTCTTGCCTGATGATAGTTTCTTGTATCCAAAGGGAAACAGTGGTGGGG